TCTGTGTGTGTGTGTGTCTGTCTGTGTGTGTGTGTGTGTGTGTGTGTGTGTGTGTGTAAGTGTGCATGTCACAGGGTTGAGGTCCCTGTTTGTAGGTGTATGTCCATGATTTGAGGTCTCTGATCTCTTTTGGGTATGTATGTCTCACAATTTGAGGCCTCTGAATTAGTTGATGTTCTGCATCCAGCATATTAATTCTCTGAATTATATTTTGAGGTCCATATCCTAAGTCTCAGAAAGATTCTGAATCCTGAATTTGAGGGTTCTGCGCTTTTTCTGGTCTGCGTTCCAGCGGGGCGAATTCACTGGGCTGTTTTCCAGACTGTGTTTACATTGTGAGGTCTCTGAGCTGTTTGGGCACTGGTGTCCTAGGATACATGGTCCCTGAGCTCTTTTGGTTTCAAAGTCCCTTGATCTGTTTGGGATATATTTTCAGGTGTGAAGTCTCTATTCTTTTTCGGAGGGCTCAGTCCCAGGGTTTGATATATCTGATCATAGGGGTTTGTTCCAGGGTTAAGGTCTCTGAGATTTTAATGGGTGTGTGTGCACCAGTGAATGAGTTTTCTGAACTGTTCGAAGGTCTATAGGTGTAAAATTTCTTAACTCTGTGGTGGTCCCTGTGCAGACTATCATGTCTCTGAACCATTTAGCAGTCTCTCTTTTCAGGTTTGAGGTGTCTGTACCCTTGTATGAGAACTCTGATGTATTTGAGTATCACCCTCAAACTGTTTTGAGCCAATGTCCCATCGAATGAGTTCTCTGTGATGCTGTGGGTTTTGTCCTAGGGTTGATTTTTCTGAGCAGTTTCAGGATCTGTTAGAGTCTGATGTCTTTCTACTGATGTCTTTTTACTGTTTCAAGCCTCTGGAGTGCTTCACCCTCTGGTCCCAAGGTGTCAGATCTCTGATCTCTGTATTACTTGGTGTTGAGGTCCCTCAACTGTTATGTTTCCAAGAGTGAGACAGTTCCCGTTGGGGGAGTCTCAGTCCCAGGGTATGAGGTCTGTGACTTATTAGGGGTCTGGTTCTAGGGTTTGGGGTCTCTGAGCAGTTTGGGGTTCTGTGATCAGTTTCTGACATCTCTCTAGTGTTTGGGGGTCTGTGCCCAGGTTGTATGTCACTGGGTTTGGGGGTCTGGATCCTAGGGTGTAAAGTTTGTCAACTCTGAGCATTTTTGCATTGTCTGTCTGCTGTGTAAAGTCTCTGGCATGTTTGTGGGTTTACTTTTCAGGTCGTGAGGTTAACTCTTTGAGGGTTTGGGTCCTATAATGTGAGGTGCTTGAGCTGTGTGGGCAATACGAAGCCAGGATGTGATGTCTCTGAACCGTTTTCATGCCTGTCTCCCAGGTTAGAAGCTCTCTGAGTCATTTGGGAGCCTGTGTCCACAAGGTTCCTAAGCCATTTTGGGTCTGTGTTCCAGTTATGAAGTCTCTCCACTGTTCGTGGCCAACTTTGTACAAACAAAGGTTTCAAAGCTGTTTGGTGATCTGTGTCCATGACTGTCAGCCATCTGAAATCTTTACGGATGAGGACAAAGGGCAAGTTCCACGAATGGTTTTGAGGTCTGAGTCCAGAGTGTGATGTTCCTGAATCATTTAGAGGTCTGTGTTTACAGTGGGAAGACTCCAAACTGTTTGGGGGTCTGAGCCTAGGATATGAGGTTTCTAAGCTGTTTGGAGTCTGTGTCCAGGGCATGTGATCTCAGTTCCTCAGGGTCTTTGACATAGAGTGTGAGGTCTTTAAGCTCTGGAGAGGGTTTGTGTCCACATTTTCAGGTCTGTGAAGCCGCTGAGCTGTTTGGGGCTCTGTCTCAGTGTATAAAGGCTGTGAGCTATTTCAGGGAACTCCATGTCCAGTATATAACATCTCTGAACAGGAATCTGTGTTGAGGTTATGAGCCTCTGAGTAGTTTTCAGGCCTGTGTTCCAGCATATGTGATTTTGGGGCTCTCTAACATTGTGTCTGAGGGTGTGAGGTCTCTGGACTGTTGGTCCATTTTTGTCCCAGTTTGTGAGTTCTCTGAGAAATTGGTGGGTCTTTATCCCTGATTGTGAAGTCTCTGAGCTTCCCAGAGGTCTGTAATCAGATTTCCAGGTGTCTGAGCTCTTTGGGTGCGTGGGTTACTAAGCGTGAGGTTTCTGGTGTTTGATATTGTTTGTTATCAATAGAATAGGAATATATTGATTCCTAGGCTGTCCTGGCTCTGAATTGTTGAGGGGTCTGTGTCAGAAGGTGTGAAGTCATGTTTGACCTGTAAACAGATTTGTTTCCTAGGTATGAGTCCTGTGAGCAGGGTCTGTTTCCAGGGTGTGAGATCTCTAAGCTCTTGTGATCTGTGTCAGACTTGGGTCTCTGAGTTGTTTGTGGCACTATATTCATGTAAGGTCTCTGGGATGTTTACTGGTCTGTTTTCTAGGGTGTCTATGAGCAATTTGTGGGTTTCTATCCAAGGTATGACATTTCAGAACCATTTAAGGATCTGTTTTCAGAGTGTGAGGTATCTCGGGTATTTGGGCAGTCTTGTGTCCAGGGTGTGCCAGCTCAATTGTTTGGGGGTCTGTCCCAGGATATTAAGTATCTGAGCAGTTTGGAAGTCAGTGATCAGGGTGTGGAGCCTCCAAATAGTTTCGGTAGTGACATCTCAAGTTGTAAGGTCTTTGAGATGGTTGTGCATCTCTATATCAAAGAAAAGTTCTCTGATGTGTTTGAGGTCTGAATCCCAGTATATGAGGCAGTATGTGAGGTCTAAGAGCTGTTTAGGAGTCTGTGGCCCATAGTTTCAGTGAAGCCTGTGTTACTTGCGGTGTGTCCAGCTATGAGAGCTCTGAGATATACGTAGGTGTGTATCCTAGGGTATGAGGTTTCTGAGAAATTTGGGGTCAATATTCAGGGTATAAGGTCTATGAGGCCTTATCTTTGGGATCCTGTCACTGCGTATGAGGTCTTTGACATATTTGGGTATCTGTGTTACAGCATGTGAGGTCTCTGAGAAAAACAAAGAGCACTGGCTCCCATTCAATTTAGGGATGATGAAAACGAGTAAGTATATTTGAAATGTGGTCTTCGTTCTCCACTTTATATCCTGGCACCCTATAGGTGTTCAATATTTGCAGAAAAAGCTTCCCCAGCACACACAAACTTTTCATTTTGAATGCAGGAGGCAGGTTTTGGGTTCAAAGACTTTAAGAGCAGGGAAGGTCCAGCTAGAATTTTATCACATTTTAACATTTTATTTGTTTTTTTTGAGACAGAGTTTCACTCTTGTTGCCCAGGCTGGAGTGCAATGGCGCGATCTCGGCTCACCGCAACCTCCGCCTCCTGGGTTCAGGCAATTCTCCTGCCTCAGCCTCCTGAGTAGCTGGGATTACAGGCATGCGCCACCATGCCCAGCTGATTTTTTGTATTTTTAGTAGAGACGGGGTTTCATCATGTTGACCAGGATGGTCTCGATCTCTTGACCTCGTGATCCACCCGCCTCGGCCTCCCAAAGTGCTGGGATTACAGGCATGAGCCACCGCGCCCGGCCACATTTTAACATTTTCATTGAATGTATTTCTCTGGTTATTTTTGTTTGCTTATGGCAATAGTTTTTCCATTTAGACAGCAGTGGATTTGGTTTTCTCACTCCCCATTCTGCTCTACTCCTCCTACCACTGCCCCCCCCCACTGCCCACCTAGTGCTGTATAGCCCCTGAGGCGTGGGTACTTGGTCAGGCAGGAGGTGGCAGGGTCTCAGCCAGACACTACCAGTCACGGCTGGTCACCACCAATCATGACTAGTCTAAGCTGGGCAAAGCTGATCACGGCCAGTCAAGGCCAGCTACCAGAGATCATGGCTGGTCAAGGCCAGAAACCACTTGTCGTGGCTGGTCAGGATGGGTCAAAGCCAGTCATAGCCAGTCCAAACTAGTCAATTACAGTCCCAGATGGTCCAGGTTAATCACAGCAGGGCAAGACCAGTTGAGACTGGTCAAAACTGGTCGAAACCAGTCCAGGCCAGTCCAAACCACTCCAGGCTGATCAGCCAGTTTAAGCAGTCAGAACTGGTCATTGCCAGTCCTGGTTGGTCAAGATGGGTCAAGGCCAGTCATGGCTAGCTACCACCAGTCACAGCCAATCATGACAAGTCAGTCGGCCAATGCAGGTCAAGATCAGTCAAGTCCAGTCAAAACCAGTTATGGCCAGTCTAAACCAGTCAATTTAAGTGCATTTTTTGGAGCCAGGGTCTGGCTCTGTCATCCATACTGGAGTGCAGTGGTGAGATCTCTGCTCACTGCAGCCTCCGCCTCCGAGGCTCAAGTGATCTTCCCACCTCAGCCTCATGTGCCACCATGCCCAGCCAATTTTTGTATTTTTAGCAGAGACAGGGTTTCACCATGTTACCCAGGCTGGTCTCAAACTTCTGAGTTCAAGCAATCCGCCCACCTCAGCCTCCCAAAGTGCTGGGATTATAGATTTGAACCACAACACCCAGTCTTAAATGCATTTTAAAGTTTTAAGTATAAAGCAAACTTATTTTAGGTCAAGATGTTATATAGATGGGCCGGGCGCGGTGGCTCAAGCCTGTAATCCCAGCACTTTGGGAGGCCGAGGCGGGTGGATCACAAGGTCAAGAGATCGAGACCATCCTGGTCAACATGGTGAAACCCCGTCTCTACTAAAAATACAAAAAATTAGCGGGACATGGTGGCGCGTGCCTGTAATCCCAGCTACTCAGGAGGCTGAGGCAGGAGAATTGCCTGAACTCAGGAGGCGGAGGTTGCGGTGAGCCGAGATCGCGCCATTGCACTCCAGCTTGGGTAACATGAGTGAAACTCTGTCTCAAAAAAAAAAAAAAAAAAAAAAAAGATGTTATATAGATGATGGTGTGATATGCGTGGGGTCTGAAATTGTGAGGATTAGAGTCAAATGGCTGAGGTTTGAGGAACATGTTACTGGGAAAACCCAGCTTCCAGTCTCTATCCCCTCAACCCCCACCCACACAAGCACCTCACACCTTGGTTTATTCAGTCGACAGTTCACTTTATTGATGCCCACTCCAGGCTGCATAGGGTTGAGGGGTGTACAGGAGGAGAACCAGATTCAGTCCATGCCTGGAGGCTAGTCTGGGGGGCCAGCGGGATGGACACACAGATAGACACATAGATCTGGCATCTGATAGCAGGGCATACAGTCTCACGTAGGGGCACTCTGGGCACAGGTAGTCAGGAAGGGCTTCCTAGAGAAGACCTCACAGGGGGTGGGGGAGCAAGGAGCGAGGCAGCCATCAGAACCTTTGCCTTTTGTACATTTGTAGGTGGGTGACTTTTGAGACTAGTGGACCCAGGGTGAGCACAAAGGCCTAGGGTCTGGGGTTGGCAGGCAGCAAGGGCTTCCTTCTCACCTCACCATCCCATAGTGGGGGAAGCCATCTCCCCCCACCCCCAATTCTTGGCCTGTACTTTGCCTTCTGCCACATGGGCCCTTTCCTGGGATCCACCTCTGTGGTTTTCAAGGCTTCCCTGAGACAATCCACGTGGACCAGGTGCTCTACCCCATGCCTGGCACCTCATCAATGCACATTCTTGTCCTAAGTGCTATCTACGGACTATCTAGACCTTGGTTCCAGCTCTGAGTGGTGTCAGCAGTCATGACACCCCAGGTTACGGCCCCCAGTACTCGCAGAGCTCCCAAGAGCCCCAGGTACTTTCTCTGTACTCCCGTAAAGGCAGAGCTTGGTCCCAGCCCACCTCCAGGGCTGGCCAGCTCTGCACTATCTATGCAACCCTAAAGAAGAGCCCCTACAGCTCTTAGGGCCAATACTAGCCAGCACTGTAAGCACGAGCAGAAATCAGCCTCAGCCCGTAGCCCAGGGACCCCCTTTCTTTCACTAGTACAAAGTGTCTGTGGTTGGGGAACCAGCTTCATGTCGGGCTGGGCACTCTAGGCTCTGATGTCTGCCTGCCCTGGGGTTGCTTCCCCATACCTTTGGGGGAGGAGAGAGGAGGCCTGCAGCAGACCCCTCAAGCTCCAGGCAGAAGCAGGTGCAAAACATATTCTGGGGCTGGGCTGGGACTCACCCCTTGGACCTCCTTAATAGGCCATGAATCCCAACAACAGTCTTGATGTTGAGAAATTATTTCTGAAGGTAGGTGGGGGTTTGTAAGTGCAACCCACAGATGGGACTGGGACAGGGAAAGGGAACTCCTGGAGTCAGTCCTCACCACAGCTGCAGCCCTGAACGTAGAGCAGATGGGAGCAGATGGGAGCAGGTGGGGGCAGGTGGAGGCAGGCGAGGCCCTGGCAGTCATTCTCAACAGGAGGGTAGCGGTGGGGGAGGTGCGGGTAACTTCAGGCCCTCTCGATCAGTCTGGCCTCAGACTTCTAAGGGCTAGAAGAGGTATTTGCGGCAGGACTCAGTCCCACACTTGCATTCAATACGGACCCGCTTCTTAGGGGAGCCAGGGAGCCCAGCCAGGCCAAAGTTGGAGTCCATGCGGGTGCTTTCCATGTCCACGGGGTCCACTGTGGAGTCACAGCCAGGTAGGAGAGGAGGGAAGGAGGTAGGGAGGGAGGGGGAGAGGGAAGGAGGGAGGAAGGCAGGGAGGGAGGCAGGGGACTTGTTAGAAGGCCTGAATGAAGGGTCCCACTACCCTTTTTACCATGAGACCAAGGATCTTGGGGGCTGGAAGCAACTCTGGGATTTGGGTTGGGAGGAGATCTAGGGGTTGGTAGTTTGGGGCTGGGGCCAGGGCTCAGCACTGGAGGTTTTTCAGGCCAGGGGTTGAGGAATGCTGGGGGAGGCAGGGGGCCGTCAGGGAACCAGGACGGTCATTTTAGGTGGGGGGCAGGGGCAGGAATAGAGGGCCACCTGGGCATCCAGAGGTACATCTGAACTCCCCTTCCAATGACCTGCCCTTGAGAGTCTCAGAGGTGGCTAACTTATCAAGGAGGGGGCTGGCTAGAGGCCACAAAGGTATCCAGAGGCTTGGGATGAAGAAGGCCAAAGGAGTGGGGGTGGGCTGGAGGATGAGGCAAACTCAGTCAAGACTGGAGTCAGGAGTGTCTTAACTCTCCAGGAATCTTGGGAGAAGTTGGTATGAATCCCTCAGGGTTAGGGTTCAGGGTCTGGGAATGAGGGGACCCAAGGGGTAGGTAGAGGTCTAGTAGTCTGAATGGGAGACTGGGAGTCAGGAAGAGCATCTTAAAGCTCCCGCTACAGAATTTTCCTTGGTTCTCTGAGTGACTGGTGTGCCTTCGGGAGGGATCCTTGTGTCCCAAGTCACTGTGCACCCCTGCCCCCGGTCCCTTGCCACCCCCACCTTGCATGTTGTAATCAAAGGTGAGCTCCTCGCCTGCCCGGATGGTTTTTGTGGCAAAGAAAGCGATGCGGGGCAGCCGCTCGTCAAGGTTGTCTATGAAGACGTTGTACACCTGCAGGTTGGGGTCACACTGGGCGAGAAAGAACAGTTGGGAGAGTGAGGAGGGGCCCCAGCCTGCCCCTCTCGACCCCCTGCCCGCCTGCCGGGGGTACCCACACTGTGGTTGACAAAGTGGGAGATGTTCCCGTAGTAGGCGGCATCCACCGTGTACACGTCCTCCACGTAGTCCAGGTCAAAGAGGTAGGTGGCGCCCTGGCGGTCGTAGATCTGGCCCCGCCGCTCCGCCTCCTCTGAGGTAATAATCTAGGGAAAAGGATTAGGAGAGGGTGAGGGGAGACTGGCTGTGAAGGCTCGGGAAAGTTGGCACTGCTCCTGACCCCTGAAGGACAGGGAGCAGGAGGTGCCCCTGCCTGTTGACACATACAGGCAGCGATGCAGAGGGTCTGTTGGCTCTTCTTGAGGGGCTGGGCCTCAGCTGGCCACTGCCCAGCCAGCCTCAGGCCTCTGGCTGGCAGGAGGAATCCCTGGCAGTGAGTGCAGGCTGGCCTGGCTGCAGGGCCCAACTAGGGCCAAGCAAGCACCTCCTGCCGCCACCCAGCAAGAGGTGCCCTAGAACCACACCCTGAGATGGAGCAGGAAGGTGGGCAGGAGAGACCAAAGCAAGGGCAAGAAAGCAACCCAGGGTGCCATGGGGAGACACTGACTGATCCAGGCAAGGGAGCCTGAGCCCGTACAGGACCCTGCAGGGAGGTCCAGGTCTAGAGAGCCAGAAAGAAGATGAGGCCACATATTTCAGAGACAGCAGCAAAGAGGGAGGAAAGATGAAGGGAGAGCACAGTGAGAGAAGCCCTCCCTCAGCCCAGGGCCACACAGTGCCAACTGGTGCTTTAGACAGCAGCAAGTGCCTCCTTCCCAGCTGTGTCCCTGTCTGTCCTAGGAAATGGGAAGCTTCGCCACTGTCCTAGGCCCAGCTTGTCCTTGCCTCCCAAATACTGTCACCGGACTCTCCACCCCACCCCAACAAATCTCTCCTCTCCGGCCCCACGGTCCCTCTTTCCCAAGACCAGCAACAGCAGCCTCCTAGCAATCCCTAAGTGTAGCTGAGCAGGCCCTTCCCTGGGCAGGGGTCCCACTGGACCTCAGCCAAGGAGGTACAGCACGGCACATAGGAGACACATGGGGGCTGCTATTTACTTTGATTCTGCTTCCTGGCTTAGCAACTTGTCCTCTGTCCAAATGGTGGCCCTCTAGGCAGCCCCAGCACTCCCCCGCCACTCCTCTTCTTCCTTCCCCTCCCTTCTCCAGAGACCCCCATCAGGCCTCCATTCTTGCTTACCCTCATGTGGGCTGGTGACCATGCCCTTCTGACTTGGGAATCTGTCTCCTTAGCCAGGATGGCCACACTGGTGTCCTCCCTCGCTGTCCCCTCAAGCCTGTGCTCCATGCCAAAGGCTAACTAACAATGCCTTGAGAAAACCAAGATTTACCCCCGTTGGGCCACACTGCCCACTGCCCTGTGCTCCTGCTCTGTTCCTGGAGGAACCTGGTTCCCCTGCACCCTGTTTTTGTTTGTTTACTCATCCATTTGGTGGGTTTTTATTGAGGATGTCCTTGTGCCCAGTCCCAGCACACAGGGCTCACGGTCTGATTAGGGAAATAAAGGGACCAGGCCCGGTCCCCATTCTCAGGGGTCACAGCAACCAGGATTGGTCGCTGCCCTCAAGGGGTCAAAGTCTGGTCACAGACAGATTCAGACAACCACAGTGTAAGATTGTGATCAGGAAACCTAGTGCTTAGGGTTTAAGAGGGAATGGAGAGGTGACAGAGTCTCTAAAACAAGTTGCAGATCATAAAAGGGCTTTACCACCTGGTGGAAGAGTGGGGACTCTCTCCTAAGGGCCACAACATGAGGGTGGAATATGTCAAGCTCAGTCTCCCTTCACCTCCTGAAGAACACACAGTCTTCCTTGTGGCATCAGCTCAAACAGATGGGACTTCTCTGGGCAACCTTCCAAGCTTACTGTTCCTCCCCTACCTCAAAAGCTGGCTACTTATCTGATTAAGCCCTGGGATCAAAGGTCAGCCTCTCCCAGGCTCATGGGCCTAGTGGGTGGGGTATGAGCCATGTTTTTCACTGTAGTCCCCCCTCAAGCCAGGGGGAGTGCCCACATCCTCCCTGGTCTCCATCTTCATGCCTGTTCTGCCATTACCTGCTCTCCCAGTCTCACCAGGAGTGAGTCATACTGCAGGCCCTCCAGGGCACACATGCTTCCTGGTTCCTTCTAGTCTTCTTTTCAATCCCATTCTCTAATGATTGGTCAACCCTGAAAGCTTGGGAACTGATCGGCCAGTCTCTGCTCCCTAGCAGCTCTCCAGAATAATTGGAAAAGACAGATAGGCTTTAAGCTGGTAGGTCCGAGTGGGTGCTGACGTGAATGGGAACTAGAAGACTTGGAGTCAGCTGCTGCTCTGCCCCCTCCTGGATATGGGATCCTGAGATCCTGAATGTTCTCTCTGTGCCTGTTTCCTCAGCCAAAAAAAAAAAAAAAAAGCTACAGCCTGGCAGGGCACCAGTTTTAGACATTATTTGGGCCTTTATTTTATTTATTTATTTTTTTAAAAGATGGGGTTTCACCATGATGGCCAGGCTGGTCTTGAACTCCTGACCTCAGGTGATCCACCCACCTCGGCCTCCCAAAGCGCTAGGATTACAGGAGTGAGCCACCGCGCCCGGCCGAGCCTTTATTTTTTTATCCATTGTACTACTTCTGTGATTCTAAGGAAGTTACTCCACCTCTCTGGGCCTCAGTTTTGTCATCTGCAGAATGGGAATGACAGTGACAAAATCCCAACATGACAGGGGCTGTTGTAAAGATCGACATGATTTCATGGACGTGAAAGGTGTTCCTGTCTGATAGGACAGTGAGCAATGTTAGGGGTGGTTATGAGGACCACTCATAAATGTAAGGAACACCCTTATTTTATGTGCCCTTTACCAAGAAAGGAAAAACTGCTATTATAAATGATACACCATGATTTAATTAAATTAAGACATCTTCATTTCAGAGACGTTAAAGTAGGAAGAAGATGCATGTTTTAGAATGGATAGGATAGTATAGGAGAGGCTGGCATTGTCTCTTGGGTGAGGATGAGAATGTTCTGCAGAAACGTGAAAGTTCTGATCCGATGTGGGAGACTGCAAAGGAGGGAAGGGCAGCTCCTGTGGAGGAAGCTCTTGGTACAGACTGTCAGTCTGTACCAGCTGAAGAAGGATAACAGATAGCATGGTGTGCAGGCACAGGGGATAGGCCCTCAATTCCATAACACCCTGGCAATATCTGGAACAGCACTACAGAATCAAGTAAAGTAGAACTGCTGCAACAAAATGTATGACTATTCACCCCAAGTAGGATAAATAAGAACTACAAATAGGACCCTATCCTGTCAGGCTGGGTCTTGTAATCAGATAGGTTACAAAAAACTTGGTCTTCCAGACATTTTGGATTTGCTGAAGTTTGGACTGTGCTGGCTAAGGTTTATATCAAACTTACTGTGTACTGAATACTGTTCAAGTGCTTGATACATAGTAACTCATTTAATTTTTGTAACAAGTATATAAGGTGAGTGCTATTATTGTTCCCATTTTGCAGATTAATAAATGGAGGCACAGAGGTTAAGTGAGTGCTGATGAGCAGTGGAGCTGGAATTTAGCCTCGGGCAGTCAGGATCTAGAGTCCACCCTCCTAACCATCTGCTATGCTGTCTCTTTAGAGGGGGATGTGGAAAGATGAATTTGGCTCTTTCCAGAGGCCTGTGGCACCATAAGGAGGACCCATGGGTCTGAGGGTGCTGGAGGGCGGCCAGGAAATAGTATAGCGAGAATGTGTGGAGAGCAGGAAGGGTGAGGACAGGGGTGACAGAATCCCTGGAAACCCTGATGTTTCCAAGGTAGAAGATGAAAGATACTAAGGAAGAGCATCCAGAAGTCTCAGGCCCAGGAGGCTCTGAGGCTGCCCATGGGGTGTAGACTCTTCCTCCTCGACTATCAGGACCCTGTGTGGTAGACAGTGTTTCCTCCAGACACCAGTACAGTGAGGCTGAGATATTTCCTGCTCTGTGTAGCCTCTAGGACGGTGGACTGTCGGGGTCCTATGGGGTCTGGACATGTCCTCCTCCAGACAGTTTGGGTTCCTTCAAACTCTGGACGCTTCCTCCAGAGTGTCAGGACACTGAGGGCATGAACACTTCCCCTGACACTGTCAGGGTGCTTTAGGGTGTAGAGTAGATCTCCAGGCTGTGTGGATCCCTGTAGGGTGAGGACACTTCTTTTTCCTCACTGTCATGACGGCGTGGGGGTGGACACTTCCTAAGGACCAGGTCCTCTAGAGTGTGGAGAGCACAAGCTCTTCCTCCAGGTCACTGGGATCACTGTGGGGCGTAGACTTCCTGCAGATTATCAGGACTCCCTCCCCATTCCACTGTCAGGAGCCCTCATGGTGTGGACACCTCCGCCCTCCTCCTTCCAGATGGCCAGGTCCTGTGGTGTGTGAACATTTCCACTAGCAGGCCAGCAGGGTTGTCTGGACAGGCTGTGGCTGTCTCCTCGCCCAGACTATCAGGATCCTCTGTGGTGTAGATTGCTCTGCCCAAGATTGTCTCTATCTCTCTGGGATGTGACCGACTCTTATTTTACAGTTTCTCAGAGTAGGGGTCTCTCCTTGTTATCAGTATCAGTGCTACAGTGTGGACATCCTCAGGTGAGTGTCCCTCAGGCCAGTTTCTGTCACTTTCCAACCATATCACACCCCTAAGGGACCTATGGAAATATATAGAGGTATCTGGGGTTGTCACTATGACAGGGCACACTCATGGATTTAAATGTTCAAGATCTAGGGATGCTAAATGTCCACCAATGCATGAGACAGTTCTACATAACAAAGAATCGTTTCGTCCCAAATGCCAACTGCATCCCATCTTAAGAGTGTGACATTTTTCTGTTGTAGATACTTGCTAGCTATCTACTTGCTGGTTATGGCTGTGCTTTAGCCTTTTGCAGCTGGACACCTGGCTAAAACACATCCCACTGCCTCCCTTGCATGGAGGTTAAGACCAGTGACTCAGTTCCAGCCAGTGAAGCATGGGCAGAAGTGATGAGCACTGCATCTAGGCCTGGCCCACTAGGATGGGCCCCTTCTATCTCCCACTTGGCCCACGTGCCAGGCAATGCTGAGGATCTAGTGGTGACTCCGAGGCTTCAAGGCACAGCAAAGGCACAGAAGGGAAAAAGCTTAGGTGTCCCAGTTGCCGTGTGAAAGGATACCCACCCAAATATCCACAATGGACTGCTCCATGAGCAAGCAAACTTGGAACGTGCAAAGCCACTAAGATGAGTGGGTTGTTTTTACAATGGCTAGCTTACCTAATACACTCGGCCTTTCCCCAGTGTCCTGAAAGTCTAAAGGAGTTAGGCAACCTCTGTCCAAGGCCTGTCTCATCCTACTCCAGACTGCGTTCCTTCTCTGCAGACTGGTAAAACAATGCTCCTCAGGCAGACACTGCTTGGTGATAAGATGGGCCCTTATGAAATGAGAAGAGGAAGTGCCTTTCCAGGTGATGCAGCCCTATGCCAGACATGTCCTGTTACAAGGAATGCTAAGGCTGCCTGGATCTCAGCTCCCACTTTTCTTCTTTGCTAAGTACCCTGATAAAGCCAACCCAGTGCAGAAGTATTTCAGTGTTCCTGCAACCACCAGCATAGCCATGCTAGTGTCTACCAGCTTAGAATACTAGCCCCTGCCCGATGTCCCTATGACACTCAGATCAGTCTCCCAGGCTTTCCCATAAGGAAAGCAGGGAGTTTCAGACACACAGTGAGAACTGGGTGCACATGCTGTGAAGAGCTGCACACACACACCCGGTCCCGTCTCCCTACCTCTCCCACGTACTCCATGACGAAGCTGTTCTTGCGAATCTTCTCCAGAGTGCGGACGCCCCAGCCGCGCCCGTCGTCCGTGCGGAAGATGCAGAGGTCATATCGAATGCCCTTCTGTACCACACGATTCGGGCAGTCATAGCCACAGCGGCAGCGGGAGTTGCACTCGTAGATGGGCAGCCCGGCTCGAAGCCGCACCTGGCCCTGGTCATTGTAGGCAAACTTGTGCAGTGACGCCCCCGGGCAGCAGCCTCCGGTGGGTGCCCACAGACAGTCCTGGCACTCGCAGCCCACAGCCACCTGGTTGAGGGTGATGCCCTCACCAACACGGTACTCATTGATATACACGAAGGCCCGCGGGGGGCCATCCAGGTCCACCTCATTCTCTACGGTGATACGTCCCAGATGGCTGCGCTTGGCATTGAGCTCCTGCTCCCAGCGACGGAGCGCCCGCCTCTGCTTGGCCTTCTGCACTAGGTAGTTGGCCAAGCTTGGGTCCAGGTGCCGGGGGGTCTTTGACCGGTGGTGCCGCCGAAGCAGCTCTCTCTCTAAGTCCTTGTGGAACTGCTTGAGGATGCGCACACACTTGAGATTTTGCCGTGGCTCCCAGGTGCTCTCTGAGTCTGGATATCCGCGCCATTTCACCAGATAATATTCCTGTTCCTGTTGGGGGTGGGTAGGGGGACGGGATACCATAAGTGGTGAGATCCTTGGGCCAGCCTTCATGAGGCTTCCATCCCAAAGCTGATGGGTAACACCTACCTCACCCCACCCCTTTTCTGGAATGACTTCATGCGGTGGTTCAAAAATATGGGCTCTAGGGTGAGGATTACTAGGTTCAAATCCTGCTGTCCCCCTTATTGTCTGTCCAAACTGTTCCAACTTTTAATTAATCTCCCAAACCCACTTCCCTCCTTGGTCTTCCACATCATCAGCTTCCTCCTAGCTGTTCAGACCCGAACTTCTGGAGTCATCCTTGTCTCCTCTTTTGCTCACACTCCCCACATCCACCCTCTGCACATCCCGTTAGCCCCACCTTCAAAATACGTCCAGTGACAAACCATCACTGCTACCATTGTGGCTCACCTGGACCCTGACAAGTCCTTGCCTGTTCTAGGCAGCTTACATATATTATTAACTGAATTACTAACTGAATCTTCACAAATCAACATGAGGTAGATGCTACTAGTCATCCCCCTTTTACAATAAGGAAAATGAAGTACTGAGGGTTTGGGTAGGTAGCCTGGGTTAACACAACCAGGACTAGAACCCAAGCATGCTGACTCCAGTTTGTTCTCCTAACCATCCTGTCACTCCCTCTTCTGACAATAGCTGTCCCCATTTCACAGTTGTTAGGGGGATTAAATGAGTTTCTGAGAGGAAGTGCCTGGCACACTGAAAGTGCTCAATAGCTGTTAGCTATCGACATTTCCACTCCAGGGCTCAGCATCTCAATCTTTGCAATTACTTTGTATTCCTAGGGAGATGGGAAGAGATTTACTTGGGAATTCATCCTGTTCCTGCCCCCATCAGAAAGCTGCTTAGTATCTTGTCTGTATTATAGGGATAAAAGGGTTTATTCATCCTATTTTTTCAGGGTCAGAGGAGAAAATTCCCTTTGGAAACAGATGTGGATAGTTGAGGACAAGAGAGCAGGACACTAACTTCCCTGTGACCTGTCCCCTCCCAGACCACGGTCACCCCAGACTCACTCGGATCTTCTTGTAATCGCACAGGTACTCAACTTCAAAGTCATAGAGGTTCCTCTTAGAGACACCAAGGGCAGGGCAGGAGAGCTTGGCCAGGCGGCACAGGTCCTGCAGCTGATTCCAAGAAGACTTGCAACACACACTACAGCCTGGATCAGGGGGCACAAAAAGAACTATTACTGGGCAGCCTGACCAGGTCAGGAGTCAAAGGGGACCCCAAATCCTCCCTGGGACATCCCAAAGACTGCCTAAGAGTCAGGGAAATTTAATCCACAGGCCTTCCCCAATGCTGAGACTGTTCTACAACAGAAATATGCTTTGAACCCTAATGCTCACTGCCCAAGGCTGCCCCTCGAACAGCAGACCTCTAAGTGGGGTTTGCAACATGAATTGTCCTAAAGGAATCTGTTCCTCTGCAGAGCTTCAAACTCCCTCTGTTATTCCTAAAACTGGCTGCAAACCTGCCTTGGGTTCAGGACCTGATCACCCTTCTCTCCACTTTGCAAAAGAAAGAGAACAACCCCCCATCTCAGTAGGATGCAATGCCCCGAGGAGCGAGGAGTGGTGGGTAGGGGGACAAGATTAAAACCTCCAGGGCACCAAACAAAGGCGTAACTGGAAAGACTGGTCCTTAATCCCTTATCTCAAACTCCTGGGCCAGATGTGTTTTGGAATTCAAAGTTTTTTGAATTTTACAAGACTATTTCTAGGATATCCCATACATCACCTAACACCCCCAGCGTGGCCAGGGGACATCAAGCTATAATCAAATGCATTAATCATCCTGCAGCAAAACTATGAATTTCCCACATTAAATAGGAGAAAAAAAGATGTAAAATAGCCTCACAGAATAGTTCCACTTTATAATCTACTTTTGCCATAAATGGTGCCAAATTTAAGAAAAGGATTTCAGTTTTCAGGGCTTTTTAGATTTTGTAATCACAAGCAAGAGATTTCGGAATGATAGTACATTACAGGAAGGCTACTTAAATGATCAATCTGGGTGCCTTAAATCCACAAGGTATATTTTTTCCTGCTGCATTTTGACTTTCTGTTTCATCCATCTTCCTGTAAAAAGCAAAGCTCGTCCAAAGGGTTATGGTCTGAATTTATATGCACAGCAGTACAGGTTAGTGACATTGATTCTTTTAAATATACCTGGTATATTTCTGGGGCTGCCAAAATTTTGTAAGACACACGGATTTTAAAAACCAAATTTCTTTCTGATTCAAGGCACATTCTTAATCAATGTGCTTTAGAAGCCATTTTATCAAATCATGTCTCAAAATATTCCAAGGGCAGTCAGTCTTCATTCTATTTCATCTTTTTAAAATGTTTAATATTTTCTGCCTTCCATTGCGAACATCACACTTTAGATGTCAACCTAAAAACGTACAAGAGCTTTTCAAAATTAATTCGCGTCCAAGCCCTACCTCCCCCTACTTAGACAAGACCAAGTGGAGACTGAGCCCGCATGTGCCCACGCTTTCCTCTCCCTACAGCCTCTCCTCGCAAACCCGTTCCTTCACTTGCATTCGAAACCCCACTGAAGTGATCCCAACTAACACCTCCAGCTGCTGGCTCCGAAATGGCCACAGGTGGATTGTCCTACCCGTCAGAGGTTCCACGACTTGTGAAACCCATCCTCCCTGCGGCTTTCGTCACACAGAGGAGCCCCCCAACATACTGAGTCACCCCTCTTTCCCTACACATGGGGGAGTCCAGCTCTCCTATTGGGAAGGCCCCATTTCCCTCTTCTGGGGGATCCTCTATTCCAAGCCCTTCCCCCATCACGCTGAGAGGAGATACGCTCCCCCTGAAGAGTTCTCTGTCCCCGCACTCAGAAGGGGGGGTCTGTCCCCCTTCTCTTCCCTCCCCTTCCGGCGTCTCGCGTGGACACCGAATGGGTAACGGTCACCGGGGGCCGATTTTCCCGCGCGCGGGCGCGCCTCCCAGACAAGCCCCCGCGCGTGCGCGCGCCGGTCCAGTTGCGATCTGTGGCGCGCGCCCCCCTCCCGCGTCCCCACTTAGTCCCGGACCCGCCGCGTTCACAGGCGCGCGCCCCCTCCCCTGAGCCCCGCCCAGCCTCGCGCACCAGGCCCGCGCTCCCCGAGCCCCATCCTTTCCGCGCTGAGCTTCCAGCTCCCGGCGCCGGGGCCTCGGATGCCGGGGCCCCGAGCCGGCGACGCCACCCCTCCAGCCCACCCGGCCTGGCCAGCGGGCCCGTGCGTCTGCCTCCACTGCTTCACCTTTTAAATTTTCCGCCATCTTTCCCCACGGCTAACGACATTCGGGCCTAGCCGGCCTCGCGAGAAGATAGCTCGCGCGGGCGTGGCCGGGAACGCGCAGCCTATTGGCCGCGGCTCGCGGCTCGCAGCACCCGCGCGGACCAACCGGAGAGCGGTGACCGAACCCCTCCCCGCCGCCCGGCTCGGTCCGTGAGGCGGGTGCTCGCCGCGCTTTCCCAGAGTGCGTCTGGGCGGCAGCGGCAGCGGCAGTAGCTGAAGTTGCCCGAGGCCCTGCCCGTGCGCCGGTCTGTCTGTCACACTGCTAGCCAATCACGTTGTCAGCCAGTCACAGTGACTCTTCAGTTCTGTCATACCCCTTGTTATCACCATCAGTCAGCTCGTCATTACATTTTAACTCCAAGCTGGCCAGGGCTCCCAGGTGGACTAGCGCCACATCCAACCGCTCAGGCAGTCACCCTAGACAAGTGCGTAGTCAGACCTCTGGCCCCCATCTACTCTGCCGGGCAGTCAACTCCTGCTTCCACGTGTGCCCTCGGGCCATCTGCAACTCCCTGGAGGTAGGCAGCACTGTTAGCCAGCCAGCCTTGTCATTCCCTAAGACCGTCCTGTCCTCACGTTGTCAGCAGATCAATTAGTCCTCCACCCACCGTAGCCCTGGGACCAGCTGCAATTCTGCCTGGGGAAATCCTCTCATAGACTGCAGCATGCAGCCATGCCCCCAGGCGGGCTCTGATTAAGGTCCAGACAAGCTGTCATTGTCATCATCTAATACAGCCCTGTCCGGCAGTCACTATCAATTGGTCACGTCTTTCCGTCAGATTATTTCTCATTCACACCACGATCAGTCACAACACTCAGCTAGGCTCTCAAAGCAAATAGTCACAGCAACTAGAGGTACGATTAAGCCTCCACACCACCTGTCAGCAGTGGGTCAGCCAGTCTGTCATTTCTCAGGCGATGCATCCCGACCATTGGTCAATCAGTCTCCTCTGATGCGTTGAAGCTGAGATTCTATCAGGGCAGACAGTCCATAACCACGTACAGCCATTGAGTCAGACAGCTACGCGGGTTTTGCTGCTGGCCAGCTGGCCTGTGACTCGTTCAATCCGCCCCTCATCACATTGTCAGTCATTCTCAAGCAGCATCCGACTGACCATACCGTCTGTCAGGTGATCAGTCAGTCAGAGCACCCAGCCAGGTCCTCCAGCATGCTGTGATTCGAGCAGTGTGGACAGTCAATCACTAGATACAGTTGCCTAGCAAGCAGCCACAGAGCCTGTTGATCAGTCAGACTGGAATTTCCCCAGGTGGCCCTCCTTTACACAGTGCCAGACAGTATAACATCCAGACATAGCCCCAGGCGAGCTGTGATTCCTGACAATAGTCATTCACAACATCCAGCCAGCCAGGCAGACAGTAGCACCACAGGTCATCAGTCAGCCAGCCTGCAAGGTCCTCAGGAGGCTGCCTGTCCTTTCCACTGTCAGGCCACCAGCCCCAGCTAGTCCTAGGCGGGCTGTCATTCAGTTAGATATTCAGGAAACCGTGCTATCACTTTCTAAAATTGCCCCCTCTCCCTGTCACTCCATGAGTTCTATGGTCAACCAAATGATTGTACAGCTAACCAAACAGATATTCTTTCTGCCTGCCAGTCCAGCTGTGAGATAATTGGAGAAGTGAATGGCTGGTCTGAGGTTCCTTCAGCCCCAGCTTGCCCTGAGTGGGACAGACAGGAGCCTAAGTTCCACCGTGCATCCCCTTCTCGAGCAGAGTCAGATGCTGATCCTCACATACCCCCGCCCCGCCCACTGGCGCCCCCCGCAGTCTCCTCAGGCAGCAGGGCTCTCCCACTCCCAGGTGTTCAGGAGACCTGTCCAACCCACAAGAGTGATTTAAGACAGGACCTCTGTCTAGATCTGAGGGGAAGATAAAGGGGTCTGTGGCCAGTGGTGCCCCCAAACACTATAAAGTACTGGGCAAAAGCCTGGATTCTGGATCCTGACTACCTGGACTCATATCCAGGCTCTGCCATTTGCTAAATTACGTGACCTTCGGCAGTTTCTTAAACTGGTCTGCAAAACCTTGAGTAAGTGGTCTTGGGGTGGTTGTCTCCCACTTATTTGAAAAGTGAATCGTTCTGGACTAGCACTTTTTCAGGAGACCTCAAAAGTTAAGAGGCCATCCTATTGCTACCATGTCCCACTCCCAGCCATTTGTCTGTTCATTCAGCATTAATTTAATGACTACTGCATATACTGCCTTGCCCAGTGCTGGGGCCAATATAAGGTTTTCATTCATTACAAGCTTCACAGGTTTGACCTATTGTAATGTAAACCTCATATTGGAGTGTAACACACATACAGAAGAGTACACAGACCAGGGTGAACACTTTAATGAGTTTACACAAGCCAACCTACATGTGGAACCAGAATGCAGGCTGAGAAACCATTTAGCCAGGTCTCAGAAGCACTTAATTGTTTTGTATAAATTTATTGGGTACAAGTATAATTTTTTTTTTTTTTTTTTGAGGCAGGGTCTTGCTCTGTCACCCAAGCTGGAGTACAGTGCTGTGATCTCGGCTCACTGCAACCTCCACCTCCCCGGTTCAAGTGATTCTCGTATCTCAAACTCCCAAGTAGCTGAGATTACAGGTGTGCACCACTATGCCCAGCTAATTTTTGTGTTTTTAGTAGAGATGGGGTTTCACCATGTTGGCCAGGCTGGTCTCAAACTCCTGGCCTCCAGTGATCCACCCACCTTGGGCTCCCAAAGTGCTGGGATTATTACTGTGAGCCACCATGCCGGGCCACAAGTGTAATTTTGTTACACGGATACATTGTGCAGTGGTGAAATCAAGGATTTTACCATATCCATCATCTGAATAATGTACATTGGTCTTCCAAAGTGCTAGGATTAAAGGCATGAGGCACAGCGCCCTGCCACAAGTGTAATTTTGTTACATGGATACATTGTGTAGTGGTGAAGTCAGGCATTTTACTGTATCCGTCATCTGAATAATGTACATTGGTCTCCCAAAGTGCTGGGATTAAAGGCAAGAGCCACCATGCCAGGCCACAAGTGTAATTTTGTTACACGGACACATTGTGCAGTGGTGAAGTCAGGCGTTTTACTGTATCCATAGCCTAAATAATGCACATCGTAACATTAAGTAGTTTCTCATCATCTACTTCTTTCTCACCTCCCTACCCTTCTAAGTCTCTATTGTTTATCATTCCACATGCTATGTCCATGTGTACACATTATTTAGCTCGCACTTACAAGTGAAAAGATTCAGTATTTGTCTGTTTCTGAGTTGTTTTGCTTAAATTAATGGCCTTCAGTTCCATCCATGTTGGCGCAAAAGACATGATTTTATTCCTTTTTTTTCCTTGCCTTTTCTCTCCCTGTTTTGTTTTCTAAGGAAGTAGTCTCTGAGACTACACACAGCAGCGTCACCTGCCCCCGGAGCCGGGGGCATCCTGGCTGGACAGGCAGGAGAGAATGCCCCAGTTCCTGCATATGCAGTTGCTGGGCTCTCTGCACGGGTGAAGCAGGAGGGTGGGTGGAGGCACAAGCCTGTCCTCAGCTGGAAGGGCGGGGCGTGGACAGGGATGGTGGGCAGGTCATCAGTGGGACAAGGGGAGCTTGGCCACTGTCACGCGACAGTGAGTGTGTGTGTGGGTGTGCTGGGCTGCTTCAGCCACAGGGTTTTACACAACCAGGCAACAAAATCCACTTCTTCCACCTCAGACCGCTTGATGAAGGCGTGGTTTGTGAGCATCTTCAGGTCCGCCCACTCCGCTGGGTTCTTGGTGGGGCATTTATTGACAAACTCCTGGAAGTCCAGGGTGAACACAACATTGGGCAGCTTAGGAGGTGGTTCATTCACAATATAGTCCAGCAGTTCGAAGATGGCCATGGCGGGCTGGCTGTCCATCCCATGACCTCTGATGGGGTGCCTGGGGGGTCTCGGCCGAGGCGAGATGCTATGAGGCTCTCCTCCTGCCCCGTTGACCACAGGCCGGCCTTGGTGTCGGGTGGGAGGGATGGTGTACCTTCCAAAGGGCAGATCCACCAGGGACAGGCCCATGCTCCAGATGTCGTACTGCACGGAGTAATGCATGCACTGCAACCGCTCCAGAGCCATGTAGGAGCGTGTGCCCACAAAGGAGCTGGCTATGGAGTCGATGAGCTGCCTGCTCACCCCTAAGTTGCACAGTTTGATTTCCCCTCTGGAGTTCACCAGGATGTTGGAGGGTTTCACATTCTGGTGCTTCTCTCAGAGGTACCCCAAGCCCCAGAGGACCACAGTGCTGACTTTCCCCAGGATCTCCTCGGGAATCCTCTTGGCCTCTTTCAGCACCTGGTCCAGGGAGCTACCATCCGTGTGCTCCATGCAGATGGAGCCGTCGTAGAAGGCCCCGTAGAAGCCCATGATGTATGGTAAGTTGCACTGGAGCAGGACCTGCAGCTCACAGATGATCTGGTTCCAGATGGCCAGCTTGATTTCAAGGTGGATCAGCTTCCGGGCCATGATGAGTCCCAAGGGTCTGTGCTGGACTTTGGTGACCACCCTGCTGTTGTCCATGCCCAGCTCTGAGATCCTTTTGAAGTAATCATCTTTGAGTTTGCCAACCTTGGCTTTCTGGGTGAGGAAGGCTTCCAGCCTCCTCTTCTGCTGCTCATCAAGTTGCAGCTTCTTCAGCCTCTTCTGCAGGTCCACCAGGTTTGCCTCGGAGGCACCCTCGCTGGTGGGGGATGGGCCCTTGGTGATGGCAGGGTTGATGGTGAGCACTTGCAGCACCGGCTTCCTCCAAGCCAGCATGGCAGCTCTCCTGGCCAGCAGCGGCAGCGCCTCTAGCCGGGGCCCATAGGGGGCGGGCCGGAAGCCGGTGGGCCTAGGCAAGCAAGCCAGGGGCTGTGGCCCTGGCCCTGGCCCAGGCGGGCGTTGGGGCTGCCGAGGGTGGGTGGTGCTGTGGGCGGGGCCAAGGGTAGCCGAGGGGCGCCGGGGCTGAGGCGAGGGAGCTGCCTTCGGTCGCCGCCGCCATCGCCGCCGCCATCGCCGCCGCCGAGGCCTGAGCGAGGCTGACCCAGCAGAGGGAGTCCAAAAGGCTAGTAGGGGAGGGGAGGCCACCGATTTTCTTCTTTTTTAGGGCCGAATAGTATTCCATTGTGTGTACATATCATTCATATATATATATATATATATTTTTTTTTTTTTTTTTTTTGAGACGGAGTCTCACTCCAACGCCAGGCTGGAGTGCAGTGGTGCGATCTTGGCTCACTGCAACTTCTGCCTCCCAGGTTCAAGCAATTCTTCTGCCTCAGCCTCCCAAGTAGCTGGGATCACAGGTGCACGCCACCATGCCTAGCTAATTTTTGTGTTTTTAGTAGAGACAGGGTTTCACCATGTTGGCCAGGATGGTCCTGATCTCCTGACCTCGTGATCTGCCTGCCTCGGCCTCCCAAAGCGTTGGGATTACAGGCGTGAGCCACCGTGCCCAGCTGAGGTAAGCATTATTTTTATCCTCACTTTAAAGACGGAGGGCCGGGCACGGTGGCTCACGCCTGTAATCCCAGCACTTTGGGAGGCCGAGGTGGGTGGATCACCTGAGGTCGGGAGTTCAAGACCAGCCTGGCCATCATGGAGAAACCCCATCTTTAAAAAAATAAAAATAAAAAAAAAAAAAGAAAGACGGAGGAAACTGAGGCCCACAGGTCAAGCAGCTTGCTCACAGTCAGTTCTTTTACCCCAAGTCTGGGCCTGCTCTGGCCAGCCTCATGGGGGTTCAGGGCTTGTTTGTTGAAGGTCTTTTCCAGGACAAAGCCTGCCAGAGGGGCCCCACAGAACGCTAGACTTCTTTTATTTATTTATTTTTTTATAATTTTATTTTTATAAATAGAGACAGGGTTTCACCATGTTGGTCAGGCTGGTCCTGAAGTCCTGACTTCAGGTGATCCACCCGCCTTGGCCTCCCAAAGTTCTGGGATTACAGGCGTAAGCCACCGCGCCCGGACAGAACACTAGATTTCTAAGTTTTCTGTGGAGGACTGCGAGTAGGGAGAAATTATACTGATGGATCCTTTCTAGACTCAGTGCCCCTCTGGGGACCTGGTCAGGTGGTGTGAGGAGTGGTGTGGGAGATAAATAGTAATGAATTCAAGAAAACCTGAGACTCCCTGTTTTTCTAGCTTGGGGGAGTTCCCCCTTCAACCTAGAAATTCTTCCATTGCTCTTGCAGATAGAAGCAGCCTGCCCTCTCTAGAGTCTCCCTCACATTTATCTTC